GACCTGCACCAGTAAGCCCAGTGCTGCAGAGCCCAAATGTGTCCCTGCTGTGCCGCAGTGGCCCAGCACCACATGGCCTGTGCTGCACTGATCACGGGGCAATCCTTGATCTAGATGTTCCTGTGCTGCTCAGACCTGGCACAGTCCAAGGACGAGCCTTGGCTCCTAACCCTGTCACTGCCAGCTCTGCAGCGCTCGCCCAGCCCTAGCACAGCTCTGCCACCTTTAGGTGACAAGCACAAGCAGAAACGGGCCCTATCACATCACTGACAGGCAGGGCTGTACCAAACACATAGGGTTCCACCCGCAGTCCTCCTCCCAGGCCCCACAGGAGCGTACCTCATACTCTGGCTGGTTTACCACCCCCTGGGAAATGAGCAGCTCTGCATATTTCTGCAGCACTGGCTTCTGCTTCCGGATTTGTTTGTACATCAGGGGCTGCGTGAACATGGGTTCATCCATCTCGTTGTGACCGTTGCGCCTGTAACAAACCTGCCAGGAACACAAAGAGCCTTTGAGAACAGCTGCTTGCGACCCACGGCTCCACAAACAGTCAGAGGTACCTGGGTGGCTGTGCTAGGAAGGGTCCTAAACAGGAGGGACCCAGTGCAGGAGTGAGGGCAGGCTCCATACAGAATGTCACCTCTCCAAGGGCTATTACAGCCGCATTGCCCCCCTTTACACCGCCTCCTCCTTCCTCTTATGTCAAAAGGGTCAGGCAAGCCCTGAAGAGGCTTGTCACAGAACCACTGTGACGGTGGTGCACTGGCACTGGTTGGCAAAGAAGCTGTGAATGCTCCATCCCTGGCAGTGTTCAAGGCCAGGCTGGACAGAGCTTTGGCTGACACGGTCTAATGGAAGGTGTCCCCACCCGTGGCAGGGGGTTTGAATTAGATGATCTTAGGGCCCTTTCCAGCCCAAACCATTCTCCAATTTACGAACAGAAATCTCACCTTTCAAGAAACACCCCAAGGGGCACCAGCAAGCACCCACAGCAGAGCCACAGCTTTACCATAAAGCCTCATGCCACGTTTCTTACCAAATCCACCACCACATCCTTATGGAAGGTGCTTCGCCACTCTGCTGCCACATTGCACACGTAGACAACAGCCTCTGGGTCGTCCGCGTTGACGTGGAAAATGGGCGCGTTCACCACGCGGGCGACATCGGTTGGGTACGGGGAGGAGCGAGCCATGCGGGGGTCTGTTGTGAACCCGATCTGCAGTGGGGGAGAGGAAACGGGTCCAGCACAATGGTAAGGATCTGGAACACGGCTCCTTTATGGGGCACCACTGGTGAAGCTGCTGTGGCGTGGGGAAAGCACCGGGAGCTGTTGCGGCTGCACTGCTCCATTGCAGCACAACCCACACACCAGGCACTGCAGCCTGTCCCAGTCCCTGTGCCCAGGACATCGTCCCATGGGGATGGGCTGGTCCCAGTGAAACATCTCTGGTTTACATGGGGCAGAACAGAGCAGCCCTGCCCGATCCCGCACACCGAGCATCAGATCGCACCACCTCTGCACCAGGCTGGACGCACAGGCCGCTACTGTGGAGCAGCTGGGTTTAACGTGCCCCTTGCTGATCCCAGGATTACAGCTCACGCCAGGAATGTTGGCTGGGAAACAGCTACTGCCTGCTGCCAGCCGCCACCCAGAGCTGAGCCTGCAGAGCCTGGCCTGCAAGGCACCCCATGAACACAGGGCTTTGCTCCTCACCTGGTTGTTGACCACAACGTGGACAGTGCCATGCGTGGTGTAGGAGGGCAGGTCACTCAGGTGGAACGTCTCATACACGATGCCCTGCCCGGCAAATGCAGCATCCCCATGCAGGAGGATGGACATCACCTGGGAGATACGAAGCCACAGCAGTCAGCAGGGGCTCTGCCAGGGCAGCCACCAGGAAAGGGAACAAGTCTCATCCCCGTGTGCCTTCAGCATCCCAGGAAGGCCACAGAACAGCTCATCAATGCATCCAACACTTTCTCAGGGGATGGGAGTGGAACCAGCTGTGGTTGGCGCAGCCACAGGAGCAGGCTGTGGCCACCAGCTCCCCCCCGAACAAGAGTAACACACTTGGGGGACAGCACCCGATACGCAGGGGCTGGGAGGCGCATCCCATTCCCAAACACACAGCTCAAAGCAAAGCCTTTAACTGAGGGTAAAACACAAAAATTGCCTCTTTTCCCCATGCTTTAACCCCAGAAGAGCTTTGTGCAGAAGCCATTTGGGCAATGGCTTACTCCAGTTCAGTGACATTACTTTTGCTCTGGTACCCAGAGGCTGGCTGAGGACACTGCCTGCCAGAGGAGGACAGAACTTGTCTATTTATATCCAGTCCTTGGGGTGCAGGAGGAAGGGAAGCTCTTTGGATCTCACCTTTCCACTTCTTGGTGCTGGAGACAGGTCTGTGATGAATCAGACCACAAATAAACCCCCCTCCCACATCCCATTCCCTGGGTGCAGAGAGCTGCCTCCTGCTGCCAGCACCAGCTTCCCCAGCCTCAGGAATGCATGGTTATCCCTGGTCACACTGAGATCTTTCAGCTTGAGGTTCCTACTGCAGAGTCCCCCAGGCTGTGATGCTCAGGTTGCCTTTTGGACACAGCTCTCATTTCCGTTTTCCAACCACGGGTTTGGGCGTTTGCTGCTCCCCGCAGCAGAGCTGGGTTCAGCACGGCAATGGAAGCTCAGGATGGGTGAGCCCTTACCAAAGTTATCCCCCAAGACAGTGGGGAAGGATGGGGGAGCAAAGTCAAGGTGATGGCAGGGGAAGGGGCACAGCAACCAAACCCAGCCGGGTTTTTCTCCCTTTCCCTCCAGCCTGCCTCCCACCAAACCCCATCCAGCCCAGGCAACTTCACTGCGGGTGCTTCAGCACCGCTCACCTTCTTGCCTTCCGTGTCCCCACAGTAAAACTGCTCTGCTTTAGTCTTGCCTTGAACAACGGGATCAGCTGCTTCCAGGTGAGAAGGATTGGCCACCAAGGAAAGGGTAATGTTCCTGTCAGTGACGCGGTTAATCCGACGGTGGTACATTCCCAGGTGGTACTTCACATCACCAGAGCCCTGATGGACAGGAGAGGAGAGTCACCCCCAGGAACATAAGTGGCTTTTGGGGCATGGAGGGAGACCTCAGGCAGAGCAGCACTGATCCCAGGGGCTGGAAAAAGGGCACCTTTCCTGGAGGTCCTGGCAGGAAGCAGCAGGCACTCACTTCAGGAGCTGACCTGGCACCCAGCAAAGCACAAGGAGCTCATTCCAGGTGGCAGACCACCAACAAACCTCAGATACGCATCAAGCCTATCTAGGTGAGGTCAAAGGTACAGGGCAAGGAGTGTGGTGCATTGGGGATGATGCTGGAAAACTGGTAACTCTCCTCCCAGCTCTGCCCCACACTGCGGCAGTACAGCCATCACTGGTACCACTCACAGTACTGCTGCTGTTCCCAGTCAAGGCACCTCGACACCCCAGGCTGCTGCTTTCTCACCTCAAAACCCCACCTGAAGGGCACAGCAGGGTAAAGTCAGCTCAGGCCAGCTCTCCAAAAGCCAAATCATCCCAGCTTACAATGCTGCAAGCTTTGGAATATGCATGCACTGCAGTCACAGACCCTGCAGCACAAGTGATTTGAGCATCAGGGCTTTTGGAGCTGCTTTAGGGCCCAAGGGTACAAGCCAGCCTCTGCTCCTGGCCACCTTCCCCTCATCTTGTTGCACTGCTTTATGCCTATGGAGAGCTGCTGGAGGCACCAGCAGCAGCCAGGGCACACCTCACCCCCAGGACAGGCAAAGGACAGACCAGCACTGGCACTGACAATCCAGCTCACTCTGCAGCCACAGCCCCTGGGGACCACACGGGGCCAGGCGGCAGCAAATCCCTATGGGCAGAGGAAACTCACCTCATCAGCAGCTTCCAGCTTGGAGTCGAACTGGCAGAAGATCTGCTCCAGCTCCTTCCGGATCACATTGGCAAGAACATTGAGGCGGCCCCTGACAAAGAAGAGCGCTGTTGGCAACCAGCAGTGCCAGCCCGGTACCGAGTGCTGACAGTGATGTGTCATCACACAGAGGCTGTGTCACGGTTCTAGGGTCACCCGAGGAGGGGACTGCAGACACCTCAGCTCAGGGCTGGACCAGCTACCAAACACTGCATGCACACAGTGCTGCTGCTCGAGCCACCACCCCCCTCCAGAGGAGGTGATAAACGAGCTGAAGCTGAAAACACCACAATGAGCAGAGAGCAGTCAAGGCCTGAGCTCCCCAGCTAAGGTTCACCACCAGCAAGACCAGTTCAGTAATGGCAGAAACCAGTGTGCCCCCCAGTACCGAACCCTGGCAGCAGCCCCCTCTTCAGTGCCTCAAGCACAGCCGTGAAGAAAGGCAGGGTTACCTGTGGGGCATCCCCATGATAACATAATCCACTCCCTTCTCACTCGACTTATCAATAATGGTCTTTAAGGCTGGGATCAGCACTTCACAGCCCTCCAGGCCAAAACGCTTCTCTGAAGACCATTTCCGATGGAGGAACTCCTCAAACCTGGAGGCAAAGGGACAGAGAGTTCAGTGCCAGGGCTACAGGGCAGACACCAGAGGAAGGACAGGGGCTGCACCAAGTGATGCTTAAGCAGACCTGCCCATCCCCGCATCCTGTGCTGCATTTAAACCTTATTTTTAGACCTTTTCTTTCAGGGTCAGCCTGCCAGCCCCAGCAGCTCACTGCCGTCATCCCCAACCACGACAGGCAACGTCACGACGTGACTCAGGCAGTGACCACATTGCTCCAGCTGGGAGCAAGGGAAGAGAAAGAGAAGGTGAAGCCCCCCCCCTGCCCAGGGTACCTGGTGGAGCGGACCAGCCTGGCCAGCAGCGTGCGCTTCTCCTCGTTGGTGAACTGCATGATGCCCGGAGTCTCAAACTTCCGCCGGATCCACTGGCACTGCTCCAGGTCGTTGATAAACATGAACTCCACGCCAATGTGCTGGCAGTAGGCCATCTGCGCCACAGAAGGAGAAGGGCTGTGAGAGAACAGCCAGAGCTTTAGTGCCAACTCACCCCCTGTGAAAACAGGCAGTGGGGCATTGCATCAAGCCACGGGGCCACGGGCTCCTTCATTCCACTCCTTAACCTTTCAGCAAGACAAAGCCTCCTGCACCGGTGGGGACACGAACCCTCTGCCTGCATCCACACGGAGCTGCCCCAACACCAGTGAGTGCTGCCTGGGACAGCAGCCGGGGGGACCCTCAAGCTGTGCCCAGCAGCCAGCACTGTGCTAGCCCTGTTTGGGGAGCCTGCTTTGAGCTGTTTTCCCAGAAAGAGGGATGCTGCAGGGGACATCCTGGGGTTCTGTGGGGCTGCTCGGACCTTGCACATGACCCAGCATCAAAATGTTTCATTCCCTTTCCCCAGGGGACCCAGGATCAGACCCTCAGGTCCTTTACATCCATATCAGAAGTGAGATTTTTCCTTCTCAGTAGCATCAGCTATAACCAGGTCCAGAACCTCAATTCATACGGCAGGAACAGAATCAGCAAAACCTCCCCCAACAAATAAGGAGCCTGTTCTTGTAGCTTATCTAACATGTTGATGCAGCTTTCCTTCTCCCAAGGTCAACCTGTCTCAGCAGAGACTACGTGAGTAAGCCTGCAGCTCGTCTGGGAGCAGTCTGTGCTTGCAGACCTGTCAGAGCAGGCTATGGAATGTGGAAAGAAAGGGCAAACTGGCTGCAAGAGCTGGAAGCCCCAGCACCAGGGTGGAGTTGCTCCTGCCCCAAGCCCCTCCAAGGAGCCACCATGCAGGGCAGCAGAACTACTGCAGCATATGGAGGGGAGTATCCCTGCTTCCAGCTGCTTCGGTGCTCTCCCAGCACCATTTGCTGTGTTCAACTGGAAAACATCGCTGGAGAGGTTTCCAGAAAGTGCAGTATTGAGTGTCCTGGGCTTTGCTCCACCTTGGGCAGACCAAACGTGTGGCCCCAGTGCAGCACGAAGCTGCAGGTGATTGTGCACAGATGAGCAGGTAACAGGGGGCAGCTGAGGAACAGCTCCCAACTGCAAAGCTCAACATGAGCCAAGTGGGACACACAGGCTGAGCAGCAGGGCCCAGGACCGTCAAAAAGCAACTGCTCTGCCCCTGGTGCACACAGGCCCCACACAGCCCCCCCGGCCCCCTCACCTCCAGCCGACGGATGATTTCCCGCAGTGGAAGAGCCGATTCATTTCCCCCGATGAAAGTGGTTGTGGGCAGGTGGAATACCTTGTCCAGGTCGGATTCATCCAGCCCGTAAAAGCCTGCAGGGTTTTCCATGGGTGGGACAAGCAAAAGCAAGAGAGAGAAGGAAGGAAGGGGGATGGGGGGACACCATCACGCAGGTACCGGGTGCAATTGGGAGAGGTGGGGAAGGGGCAAAAAAAAAAAGCAGCATAAAACCAAAAATAAGCATGAAGGAGGTTTATATGGATAAAAAGCCGTAATTAAACCAAAAGACATTAAGCACAGAACCACAAAATTATTATGAAAGGTAATGCATGAAACAAAACACAAAGCAATATATATATATGCATGTAAATCAGCAATTAAAATCCAGGGTGAGAGTCAGGAAGTTTTGTAGCCCCAAGAACAGAAAAAATACACCACAAATTATAACAGAGGGGCAAAGAAAAGAAACAGGATTTGAGGAGGCACCAAACACAACAGAGGTGTCGCCACGTGGTGGGGATTAAAAAGGAAGAGTCCACATGGAGAAGGAAACAGTTAAAACAGACAAACCCCAAAGAGGGAGAGAAAGAGAAGCAAGAGAAAGAACACGGCATCAGGGCTCTGCAACGGACTCTCCTGAATAGCTCACTGGGAGCAGGGCAGCCAGCCGGCCCCGCAGGCATTCTGCTGCCCAAATACTCCTTCACCCCAATTAACAGCCTTTTAATTAGGGGTTTAACCTAGCTCTGTTCAGCAAACCCCATCCTTTTTGGTGTTGGCACCTTGTGGTTCATAGGCAGCTCCTGCTCACGGCACACGGCCCTGTGGGAGCTGGGCTGTGCCTGGAGCAGGGCTCAGAGCGCAACGTCAGGGTTTGGAGCTGCAGATGAGCCCCACCACCATCACCCACAGTTGGTCCCTGGCAGGGTCCGGCACAGCTCCAGGGTCCCCCAGAGCCATTGGAGGTGCTTTAGCACCCACCAGCACTCAGGATTGTCTCTGGGGAAGCTGAGGCATAGAGGAGGAGGGACCAGGACCTCACTGAACCGATGCAGGGAGGCAAAAGTAGAGCTGGGGAGCAGACTGAGGAGCCCCAAGAGCCTCCTGCAGCAGGAGCTTGGCTGGAAGGGGGGCGGATGCACAGAGCTGCCTCTTGGGCTCCTGTTCATCCCTCCCAAACTCTCAGTGGAGGCAGGGCGCAAGGCGTTTCCTAACCCAAGGCAGGAGCCACAGACGAGGCAGCTACCACTGCTCCTCCAGCCCCCCTAAACCAGCCCAATGCCCCAGCTGGGGTCTCTTTAAGGGAGCGTACAGGGGATACCAGCCCTTAAACACTGAAGGGCAGCAGAACCCACCTTCCTCTGGGCAAAGGGAGGCAAAACCTGGCCCCTCCAGAACTGGCCCTCCTTGAACTTAATCTTAAAAGACTCTGTCCCTTGCTCTCTGTCAAAAATGGATGAGCTGGAGATGGAGCTGTCCATGTCCTGTCCCTGTGCAGCCTGGAGGATGGTGCTTGCTCGAGCCTGGGAACAGCCATGGCAAGCCTGGAGTGGAGGTCCCCCTGGTTGCCGCTGCCATCCATCCATCCATCCATCCGTCCTTTGCCCAGTATCACCCTCCTGCATGCTGCTAGTCACAGGGGAAGGAATTAAAGCACGCCCTGGGGGGCTCAGCTCTGGAGCTGTGCCTGGGAGCACTGAACTGCAGTGGCAGGAGCTGAGTGATTGGCCCCATGTCTCCAGGACTTCTCTGCAGTTCCAACCCAAACAAGTCCTGCAGAGAGGCAGCATTAGCACGGCGCATCCCAGCTCAACGGCTTGGTGGAGGTTTCAGGGAAGCCTCAGGACTTTGCTGTGGCTCCCAGCGCCAAGGCACAGGGTTCAGCTGCCTCTGCCATGCCAGTCTGAAGACTCAGGCACGCTTTGGGGGGTATCAGATTTTACAAGGAGTTTTCAGGGTTCTGAGCATCTCTGCTTCTGCTTTACTGCAGCCTGACAGCTTTCCTGACAGCACTCTGTTTCTATATGCAGCAATACCACCACATGGGGGGGAAGGCTCAGGACACACCAAGATGTGTTCTCTACCAAGCCAAGCATGCAAACACAGCATGGGAAAGGCCAGCGAGGGGCTCTGTCGGGGTCTCTACAGGTGAAGCATCACTAACCAAGCACCTACATCATGGCTTGTAGCGGGACAAATGAAAAACACATTCCAAAACTCAAGAGTGGTGCGAGACAGGAGGGGTCCGGTCACCGGCTTGGTTCATGCCCAGAATAACCTATTCAAAGAGAGTCCTGCACTCCAGAGGGTTAAAGGCTCATTAATTGCATACCTCCTACTGTTAACACTCTCAGCCGCTCCTTGAACACTGCGAGGTCTGGGGTGGGCAGGGAGGGGGGTGCAGAAAGGGAGAAGATAGAGAGACGCAGTCAAAGTTAGTAAAAAACCCTAGAACTGTGAAAACTAGTCATGGAAAGCACAAGTCAACAAATTACAGTGTTTCAAATACAGTCAAAAACCAAGAGAGGCAAAAGGTTGGGATGAGGATGACTATGAGCTAGGCGGAGAAAGAAATCCCTGCGGAAAGTCTGGCAAGAGGAGGGAGGAGCAGAGAGGGAAAAGCGGGCATCAGACACTGGAGAGCAGTTGAGCTGCATGGTTTGAGATCTCATCTCCTCCTGCCCGTCACAGCATCTCCACCTCCTACCATCAAAACATCCTTCTGCCAAGCTGCACCCAGGGGAGCATCATCTTCTGCAGCGCATGGGCTGCCTCCCACCAGCATCTGCTCCAAGGAGGGTTTCAAGAACAACCCAAGGAGGCTCTGCTGCCTCCTTGGATCCCTGCATCAGGAGGGGAGATCAGGAAGAGGATCAGGGTGTTCAGGAGGAAGACCAGCGGCACAGGAGGCAGGCACACAGCACACTGTGTTTCCTGAGGGTGCCATCTGCAGAGAGCATGGGTGACCCACGTGCCTCAGTCTCACCCGAGTTACAAGAAGGGCTCTGAGCACACTCCCCCTTTGGTCGGAGGGGAAAATTCCATGTTCAGGTGAGGCCTTTGGTGAGCAAGGTCACAGGACTGGTCAGTGCAGATGGCAGCGCTCCCAGCAAAGCTCCTGCAGGGGCTTGCCCAGCTCCTCCCCAGCTGGAGGACAATTTCCATCAATCCCCCTGGGCAAGAGGCAGGAGCAGCTGCCTTCCATGGCCGGACACCCAGACACACGCCGCTTCCCAAGCACCACCTGCATTTCAGCATGGTAAGGTGTTCTTTCCTTGGACAGGTCACATCAAGCTCCTGCAGTCATCTCCTCCTTGTTTCGCACCACTTACCATGCCAGATCAGCTGCAGAAGACCAGGATGAGATTACTTTGGGTTTTAAACAGAAAAGACAAGAGAAAGAGCAATTTGGTGGCTCCAGCCCCACCACTCCTCAGGCCAAGTACCCCAGTCCACCTTTCTTTTCCTCTCCCTTACATTTCCTCCAAAGCTCACTGCTGAGTCCAAAGAGAGCTTGAAACCGGACACAAACCAGTTGCTAAACAAAAGGCAATTGAGAAGAAAGATCAATTTCTGAGATTAATCATGCAGCTCCTTTGAGTCACAGCACTGCCTGGCCATGGTTTAGGCTGTTGGCAGGAGAGCTCACACCACAAAAGCTGACCTTTAAGGATTTCACTGCTCAGAAACAAGATTATTTCCAAGTTTCAAAACCACTCCTGTTATTAACTGCTCTGTCAAGTGTTAAGAAATGCTCTTTCAAAGGAAAAAACAGCCAGAAGGATCTGCTAGAAATCGGCTTTCTCTGCCACACGCCAGCAATACCCAATGTTGGGCTGGCTGGAGCTGTGCCCACACTCTGCACCAGCACCGCTTTCCTCCCCTCCTGCTGAGCACTGGTTGCAAGCTATGTTTGCCAAACTGTATTTTAAGATTGATCAGTTGAGGTTTTCCGAGATAAGGACACCAGGGGAAAGTCTATTCAGTGTAAATCATACTTACAGCAAGATAATAAAGCCTCCTTTGATTAGATGCAGCCATCTGAGTATGGGGTCTTACCATGGGACATAACCCCAACATGTAATAAAGCCTCCTTTGATTAGATGCAGCCATCTGAGTATGGGGTCTTACCATGGGACATAACCCCAACATGAGCTAGAGACTGATACCAGCACAGCTTGCTCCCAGCGCTCATTATTTCCTATGAATTCATGGATTCCTGGTAACTAAATCAACACCAGGAACAGCAGTGACAGGTATGTTAGTATGGAAGCCATAAAGAAACAGGAATTAAACTTTATGCCTGGCTCAGACACACTGATCACAGACTGAGATTCTCTTCCAGCCGACCCTACACACAGGCCATGCCTGAACACCTCCCACCCTGGTGAGCTGGGCTGAGTCACACTGCTGGTCTCATGACCACTCACCCTGGGGGAGCAGGAGAAGTGGAGCTCATTCCACGTCACCCAGATCCTGTTCCAGCTGCAGTGATGCTTGAGCCCAGCTCTGCAGCTGGGGCTGCGCAGGAGGACCTGCACTTGGGTTGCTTTGGGCCCCGGGCTCTTCCTCTGAAGCCAAGATGCTGCTGGAGCACACCCTGCTTCAGAGGAACCACATGGACAAAGCAGAAGGAAAGTCATGTGAAGTGACTTTCCCTACTGAAGCAGCCCCATAAGTTCAACATCGAAGTGGAAAGCAGTAAGGAGTAGTGTCCCCCAAGGGTCCGTAATGGGACCAATGCAGTTTAATATCTTCATCAGTGGCATGGACAGTGAGATCGAGAGCACCT